GAACTTAGGATTTTTTTCTAATTGTGTGAAGATTGACATTGGTGTTTTGGTAGAGATTGCATTGGTTCTGTAGATTGCTTTGGGCAGTATGGTCATTTTAACAATATTAATTCTTCCAAACCATAAGAATCGGATGTTCTTCCATTTGTGCCATTTATAATTTCTTTCATTAGTGTTTTATAGTTTCCTTGCCCACATCTTTCATCTCCTTGGTTATATATAATCCTAGGTATTTTATTTGTTTACAGTTTTTGCTATTGCAAATGAGATTGCCTTCTTGATTTGGTTCTCAGATTGTTATTGGTGTATAGAAACACTACTGATTTTTGTGCATTGGTTTGTTTTTTATTTAGGCATATTATGGGGGTACAGATTTTAAAGTTTCAATTCCCCTCCTCCTCCTCCTCCTTTTTTTCTGCTGCTTCTCTCTCTCTCTCCTCTGTTGGGTTAGCATATTTTACATTAAGGTTGTAGAGAAAAAATATACTCATTTTATCCTCAAAAGAGAAGCTACAGGTCCAACTCAGTCATAGATTCCTCCTTAAGGTAGACTAGGCTACATCCTTAAAGCAAGTGATTAGTAAAAAACAATTTACAGATGCACTACTGCATGCTATCCGAAGTTGCAATTATTGCAAAATTGACATTTTTTTTTTTTTTGGGACAGGATATCACTCCTTTGCCTGGGTATGAGTGCTGTGGCATCATCATAGCTCACTGCAACCTCAACTCCTGGGCTCAAGTTATCCTCCTGCCTCAGCCTCCTGAGTAGCTGGGATATAGGCATTTGCCACAACATCTGGCTAATTTTTCTGTTTTGGAATAATGAGGTCTCACTATGTTGCTTAGGCTGGTCTTGAACTCCTAACTTCAAGGGATCCTCCTGTCTCAGCCTCCTAAAATGCTTGGATGAATGAGCCACCAAACCCAGCCCGCAATTGTATTCTTTATTGCCTCTTTCACCAATATTCTAGATTGCCCTTTCCCTGAGTCAAGTTTCTCTGGTCTAAAGTGTTTGCTTAATGGATCAGGCTTTCATCTTTCAAATGGACAAGCCTTAGTTTTCCTGCCCAGTTGGGTTGATGTTGCAAATGCCCATTTAGTGCTCACCATCCAGTATAATAATACTAAAATGTCCAGTGATTTCCTGGGTCCCAGGCATACACATTCTTACCAGCATAGTACAGTAACAATGCTAGTTCATTTTTGTAATTAATATCGATTATTCCAAGCAGTGAATCATCTTCTTTCCTGGCTTACTTGTTCTGTGTCCTTGGGAGCCATAGCAATAGTCATAGATCCCAATTCAGGGAGAATTACAATGTTCCCTGATAAAATGTTTCCTGTCTGGAACCATAACTTTTATCCTAGTCATACCTAAAAAAATAATAATAAATAAATAAATAAAAATAAAAAGACACCTGCACTCAAATGTTTATAGCAGCACAATTCACAATTGCAAAGATGTGGAAACAACCCAAGTGCCCATCAATTCATGAGTGGATTAATAAAATGTGGTATATGTACACCATGGAGTTCTACTCAGCCACAAAAAATCAATGATGATATAGCACCTCTTGTATTTATCCTGGATAAAGCTGGAAGCCATTCTACTAAGTGAAGTATACCAAGAATGGAAAAACAAGCACCACATGTACTCACCAGCAAATTGGTATTAACTGATCAGCACCTAAGTGGACATATAGGAATAACATTTTTGGGTGTCAGGCAGATGGGAGGGAAGGGAGGGGATGGGTATATACATACATAATGAGTGTGATACACACCATCTGGGGAATGGACACGCTTGAATCTCTGATTCTGGGGGGGAAGGGGAGGAAAGGCAACAATATAACCTAAACATCTGTACCCCCATAATGTGCTAAATTTAAAAAAGTAAATTAAAATTAAAAAACAAAAAACAAACCAAAAAAACTCTTCTTATATTTAGTTTAACGACAAACACAATCACACCTACTAATTCCACAAAACAAACACAAAAAGGACCGCCACACACACACATACCATTTTTAGGCGATCTCTGTTACCATATTCCAAATACAATTAAATTGAATTTCAGAAATCTTTTCTTAATATTCAAGTTTAGATGGCTGAGTTAACCTTACTTTTCACTTCATATATATGGTTATCACTAATATGTACATGACCAACTCTAATTTCATTTATTTCTTCCCTTTGTCACCATCTACCTTTTCTTAAAACGTGCACATTTAAAGTATAACTGGAAAAGGCAATATAAAATAAAACACACAAAATGTTATTTGAAAAAAACTAAATTTATTTTATAAAATTTACTGCACAGATATTCAGTGGAAATGTGTAAGATATATGATACAAAAGAGAGTTTCAAAATTTTACAATGGTGAAAACATAAATTTTTAAATAGAGATTAATTAATAAGATAAAAATAAAGGAATAAAAATCAGATAGGGATGAAAAAAGAGAATGAGGCTACTAGAAAAATTCTAGCCTCTGTCATAAAGAGGTTCAAAGTAAAATTAACTAAAAAGTGATACAAAGAAATGCATGAATGTACACTATGAGAAGAAAATACCAAAATTATCAATCTGGGAATTTGCCACAGAGCCAATCAGCTGTCCCCCTTCCATCCAGAGAAAGAGAGAGAAACCTTTGCAGCCTAGTCACTTACAAATCTTTGCAATATAAAAAAACTAGCTTTGCACCTCCTGTTTTCAAGTCCTTTTAAAATATAAACACATAGGAAAGTAATTCTGCAAATATGTCTGAAACTCTCTAGCTATTTATTCATTCTGTAGCTTCCAGGGCTTGCCCTTTAACCCAGGTGCCATTCAAATTTGCTCAGAAAGCACTAACCATGTATAAAGAAGGAAATGTTTACCCCTGACACTTCTAACTTTGCATTGAAAACTTATCTTGAACTTTACTATGAAGACAAGTGAAAGATCCAAGTTTTGTAATCAGGTCTCCATTATATCCCTTTCTATGGATGTCCAATCTAATTATCCCCACATGTAACATGAATATTGACAATATTGAATTTTACCTGAGCCCTGTGATTCTGGAAAACTGCAAAGTTTAAGAAATTGCTCACGCTTTCTGTTCTAGAAAGGCCTTACTCAAAGAATCACCCTTCTCTGAAGGACTGAGCTAGGATTCACTGATGCCTCCTTGCTTACTGTGAGAAGGTGAGATAGAGACTCTCCAAATTCCCATTCTTTGCCTCACAAATCATTGGCCAGACTGCGTCTCTCTGTTTGCTGATGATATTCTCTTATATCTAGAAAAATATGAAGACTCCAACAAAAAAAACCTCTCAGATTTGATAAATGAATTCAGTAAAGTTTCAGTATACAAAATAATGAGTGACATGTGCACCATCTGAGGGATGGTCATGCTGGAAACTCAGATTGGCGGTGGGGGAAAGGGCATTTTTGAGGGGGAGGGAGAAGAGTAGGAATATGTATTTGAAGTATGTAAAGAAAGATGATTGTTTTAATAGAATGTCTTTTGTTCTTTAGGGTAGGTGGCCAGTAAATGGATTGCTAGATCAAATGGTAGATCTACTTGTATCTCTTTAAGGTATCTCCATATTGCTTTCCACAGAGGTTGAACTAGTTTGCAGTCCCACCAGCAATGTAGGAGTGTTCCTCTCTCTACATATAGTAAGTTATACTACGTTTTCTTTTTCTATTTAGTTTATAGCAGAAACTAAGTAGTTATTTTAGCCTTTTCCTAGTGTTAAATTAATATCAATGAGGCCTGAGGCTGCCCTCATACTTTTAAACACTATGTAGCAAACTGCAACCTAACAGTATGTAAACTAACTGAAACGTATCTTAACTGTGTAATGAACAGCTGAGTTTCAGGTAATCACAGGTAGCAATTTATCACAGTATGCCCCAATAAGACAAATGCCTAATTGTAGCCAATAAGATGATTTCTCTACTTCACTTGTGTGGTTGGCCTTATAAAAGCTCACTGCTCTTCTAGGTGGAGCTCTCTGAACCTCCACTGGTTCAGGGTGTGGCCTAATTCATGAATCAGTCTTTGCTCAAATAAACTCTGCTTCATTAAATTCTCTTAAGTTTTTCTTTTAACACAAAATAATACATTTTTTTTAATCAGAAGGTTTATTTCAATATGTATAAACATCAACTTCCAGGCACATGATCAAAATTGGAGATTGCAATGTGTGGTGTTAGTAGTGACAGAGGGAAAAAAACTATGTGTAAACATATATGGTATATGCATAGTATATCTGTGTGTGTGTATGTATATCTATATATACATATGTATATATATGTGTATAGTGCTATGGCTTGAATGTTTGCCCCCTCCAAATCTCTGAAATTCAATTGCTACTATAACAAAATTAAGAAGTTACACTTTTAAGGGGTGATTAGGTCATGAGGGCTCTGCAAGTGATCAGCCTATCTCACACACATACACAGCTGACTTGTCGACTTAATTTGAAACACTGCTTTGGAGGTGTGATCTGGGTTGTTCTTATGGGTAATCTCTTAATGAGAGATAGTCCTCTAGCACAATTATTTTGCAAGGGGGAGGAATAACCCTTAGTATCTGTTTTAGCTTTAAGATAAAAAATGTTTTAAGACAATTAATCTGAATGTAATGATGACTACAAAGATATTAAATAGTTTTGAAACTTGATGTTCATTGACACAACATTTCTCAAACTATCTGTGATGCAAGGCCAGTTTACCCCTTCAATTTATTGAATAGTTTTACTTTTTTAAAAATACAATAGTGATGGACTACTTAAAGAAGAAATAAAAAGGCATAAATGAAAGTTCAAATTTTTTACTACTAGATTCAGGAAATATTAGCTGTCAGATTTCTCTTACAGTATATCAAAGTTTACTTTCAATTTTTGTACTTATCAAACATCAAACACAGGTTGCTAATCAGTTCTAATCCTCTACTAATCACTATACCAAACTTTCCTGATAACTTGAATACACAATTTCAATATTTTCCTATTTATTGGAGAGAAATGCAATTCTTTTAATTGAGTCATTGAATGCTTGTTTCACTTGCTTGTTCCTTAAGGTGTATATAAATGGGTTTAGCATTGGTGCAATGGAAGTGGTGAGTACTGACACACCCTTATTAATGTCCACTTCTTCTTTTGCTGAAGGTTTAATGTAAATGAAAATGCAGCTTCCATAGGTGATGGATACAACAATCATGTGAGAAGTACAGGTGGAGAAAGCCTTTTTCCTTTGGTGAGCAGAGGGAAATTTTAGGATTGTCTTGATGATATATATATAGGAAAGAACTACACACACCAGGGTCATGATGAAAGTCATCACAGCACAGGCTATGACCATCTGCTCTATGAGCCATGTGTCTGAGCAAGAGATCTTGAGAATAGGAGATGCATCACAGACAAAATGGTCAATGACATTCGAGTCACAGAATTTCAAATTTAGGAACAGGGTAAGTGGTGGGAGTATGATCATCAATCCAGCCATCCAACAGCAGAAGACAAACCTTCTGCAGACTCTGTTGTTCATGATGGTTATATAGTGCAGGGGCTTGCAGATGGCCACATAGCGGTCATAGGACATGATGGCCAGGAGAAAGAATTCTGTTACTCCAAAGACATCAATAAAAAACACTTGAATGACACAAATAGTATAAGTGATTGACCTATCACCTGTTGCTATGTTGTACAAATATCTAGGAATGCAGGCAGATGTGAATGAAATTTCCAAAAAGGCAAAATTTTGTAGGAAAAAGTACATGGGTGTTTTCAAGTGAGATTCAAGTAAAGTGAGAGATATGATGGTCAGATTCCCCATTAGACTCAATGTGTAAGTGAGAAATAGGAAAATAAAAATTGGAATCTGAAATTGAGGATCTTCTGTCAGTCCTAACAGGATGAAGGTTGTTACTGTGTGATTTTTCATCTCAGTACTGAATTTTATTCAACCTTCATGTAAAATTTAGAGATATTTTACTTGAGTAGAGTTATATAAAAGTCAGATATCAGCAAACTGACTACTAGAGACAGCAAACAAATTCACATGTGGTTTCTTCTGTAATTGATGTTTCTAATACTTGAGTTTGACTATTTAATTGTTTATTTAATTTTATTGTTTTGATAGTTTGTGATTGATTTTTAAATATATTTAAAAAATTATTCTACCATTCCAGTTTTCTCTTTTGTTTCACATTTGCGATCAGCATTCAAGACTGGATATCCCAGTATTAGATTTGACCCCCAATTTGTTGTGATTCCACAAAATTATAATTTCTTTTACATCTAAGCTTTCCTCTGTATTTTAAAGGCCAATATTTTACTTTACTAGTGTTTTAATATAATTCCTAGTTTTGGTCCTTAATAAAGAACAAATATGTAACAACTAATCTGGGCTCTGTACACAGGCTTTGTTGATTCATTTGCAACTTGTATTATTTATTTTGCTACTATGACCAAGCATGTGTTTATGTTGTTTTGTTTTGTGTTTTGAAATGCAGCTTCCACATGGTTGAATCAATCTTCTGACTCTTCTTATGTTTTTCTGTTACCATGTAATTTACACTTAGTGACCACTGGAATACATAATACAGAGTATTTTAATGCACAATCTGTTCATCACATGTGAAAAAATGTTTGGTCAAAGGATATAGAGCTGGAAAAGACAACATATTTATTTTATACTTTCAGTCTGTTTAGTCCAGTATGGAAAGGACTTCAATGCCTTACAATCATCAAGTTCAAAATGAAATTTAAAATGCTAGATATAGTCTACATGCACTGCCTTTTCACAACTTCTTATTTGTGATCTTCAGTTTGAGTGTCACGTCTACTGGAAAGGCTCCTAAAAGTCTATTGTCAGAGCTGACTGCTCCTAGTTTGTGCTCCTGTGGTAAGTAATTGTTCTTACTATTTGAGCACTTCCTTTGAGAAAGTAAGTTTTTGAAATCAGGGCCTATTGTCTTTTTTTTTTTTTTTTTTTTTTTTTTTTTACTGGGAGAGCTACCAAAACTAACACAATCCTAAATTTATAATCAATGAGTAAGAAATGTCAGGGTATAAATACACAGATGTCTAGTTCTAGTTCATTGGCCTACACATTCAAAAGTAGTTTAAGTACTATTTGGCTTTCATCTTGAAACTCCTTTGTCACTGATTTTAATTATTTAAATTTTAGATGTCCCTATATTTAACATTGAGTTTTTTTGCATTTGAAACATGAATTTTGCTAGTGAATAAAGTCATACCATGGAAGTATCACTTTCTGTGCTCATGCTATTACCTTCCATGTTGATCAAACCGTTATCTGGTGTGTCCACCTTATCTCTCAAGCAGACAAATAGCTGTATCTCTGCTGGTGGCCATTTTTGCTTCTTTAGGAATCTGTCAGTAAGATATTTAAGCTAGAGGTTAAGGAATTTTCATACCTGAATATACAGTTTTCACATGCATTCACTTTAAAATATATTGTAAATATTTTTACATCTTTATAAGTACAGTAAATTCCATCAAATTTCAACCCACTGTATTTGTGTAACTAATTTTAAATTCCCCATTATTTTTAAAAATACCTATTTCAAAATTTCACCTGTATTAAAAAAACCTTATAAATATACCACAAGTTTTAAATTCATTTCTGAAACACGGTTATGTCTTTTTATTTTCTATGATTGTTAAAATATCTGCAAAAATCATATTTTATAAACATTGTTGCACAATTTCATCATAATTGTTAGAAATGTAATTGCAAGTGCAAAGGAAATATTTACTTCAAACTTTTGTGTACATTTATCAAGCCATCATCTATAAAGTTTATATCACTATGTTCCTTCAGTTCATTGTGTGACTGTGTAGTAGTATCCACATTCAAATTACAGCAATTTATCATATGCCTTTATTCAAGATTATCGATACTTTTGTTTAATACAGGTTTTCGTCTTATAGATCTTAATTCGCACAATTACACCATGAAATAGTCCTCTGTTCTGTCTGCATTTAAGGCTTTCATCGTTGTCTTCTGTAGGTAAAGGCTGTTTCCATTAAATTTTCCATCTATGTCTCTTCAATGGATATTTTAATATTTTTAAACCAGAATTAAAGACTTTTTAATTCCTTTTTTTTTTTTTTTTTTTAGATGAGGTTAGTTTTTCTACTGATGACCATGCGATCACCATAAATAATAATACTACAGAATGACACTTATGGGTCTAGATTTCATTTGCTCAATATATGTCGTTGTGATAATCATTCAAGTTATTATATAGCAATAATTTATTCCTTCATTTCTAAGTTTAGTCATCATGTAAGTATCAAAATTAATTGATTATTTCTGATAATGAATATCTTGGGTGTTATCCAATATGTAGATGATAAATAAAGGGGCTGTTATTTGACTTTGAAAAACAAAAGTTCCCTAAATTTTAAAATAAGGTCCATTCTAAGTAAGATCTATTTTTAAATGCCTGGTTTTTATAGTTACTTTTCTCCTAGAACTTTCCAAATTTAATATATTCTAACAATTTAATTGTTTAACTTTCTGTTTTACATAGGCTTCTGTGTTTCTGTTCAGAAATCTTTTTTGCTTAATATCATGAAGTTACTTAATTATGTTCTATCAATAAGTTGACCTTTCACAGCATCTGTTAGCAATTAAGGTATGTGCCCATCTGTAATTGATTTCGTGTGCCCTAGTGGCTTGAGGATGGAAACAATTTTCATTTTCCATAGTGATGCCCATAACTCATCGTTTAATCATGAAAAGGATCATCCTTCTCCTCATTGCATTCAGTGGCAACATTGTCAAAATCACATGTGTCCATGAAGTGTAGATTCTTTTTCAGGGTTCACCGATTTACGATTCCATTAATATATTTCTCATATCTTGAATCAATTACTATAGCCCTGTTTTTATTTACATTACCGTTTTAAGTATGCTTTCATATTGGTGTGAATTGTCAGATAATTTTGTTCTACTCCTCAAGAATATCTTGGCTCCTTCCTGACCCCTTATTTTGTCTAAACACTTAAAAAACTGTAGGCAATTTCTGCACAACAAACAAAACAATTTTCTTACACAGAAACGTCTTAATTAGAGATGTGCAGTGGCTTATAGAACAATTGGGCGAAGATTCCTTCTTCTCATATTAATGAAATAACTTGTAGTGCAGTATAGTACCAGTACCTTCTTTGTAGGTCTGTAAAATTCCAGCTGTGAACACCATCTGGTTGGTACTTGTTTTTTTATTGGACTTTTTTTATGTGCTGCTTCAAGTATGTGCTCTATTCAGGATGTTCATTTTCCCGACTGAGCCCTAGGGAGGGGTTTTTTCCAAGAATTTTCTATTTCCTCAGACATTTCATAAACTGTCAATATCACCTGATACCATAAGAATAGGAAGAAATTAACAAAAAACAAAACTACAGAAGAATATTTCCTTATGAATATAGATGCACCAATTCTCAAGAAAATTCTAGCAATCCCGAATTCAGCTGCAAAAAACATCAAAAATATAGAAGAGGCTTTGTGCAATGTTTGACAAACTTACACTAGTACTTTTGGTAGATTACTTTCTAAGTGTTTGATGATGTCTTTACATTTTATATAGATTTGGTCATTCTTAATTTTCTGTTTTTGCTAGTATCCAGAGTTTACTATTGTTTTTGTATAGTAACTTCATCTGTATATTTTGGTATATTGGAAAGTTATTGTATCGATGATTTTCCTCTGAGAAGCCAGGTTTGACATAATTTACACCAAAACTTGCAGCAAAATAAGCTATTTTGAATTAAATTATATATAAGATCACAGACCTTTCTGCATTATATTTAAAATGCACATTTAATAGTTAATTTTGTCTGGCAACTTTCCCAAATTTATAATTGCAACTATTAAATTTACTAAATAAATTCAAATTAGTAAGTGCTTTACCCTGCTAGTGTCTTTGCAATATTGCAACATATCCACAACAAAATCACAAATATATGATAGACCATGTTTATTTTCTTCTCTTTACTTATTACCCTCGTGTAGAAATGATGGGAGTAGACAATCCATCATATAACTCACTGAAAAGAAAAGTTTTCAAAATTCAAAATAGCATATGATGTTTTCTAATATTTCCCATCATCTAAAAAACTCTGTTTTTATTTAAAGTTTTACTAAGAATGTTTTAATATGAAGTGGGAATTTTATTCTATAAATTTATTTTGTACATTATTTGACGACTATCATATTTATCAAACCTTCTAATTCTGTTCAATGTGGTAGATCACCACTGGCTGATTTTCAAGTGTTAAAACAAACCAGAAATTTCTGCAATAAACCATTTTGATGGTTATTTGTATCTTTTTCTGTGCTATCACGCCCATTTATTGGATAATTATACATTACGGGATTTTTACCATTTATTATAAAGTGTCAATCGTAATTAACTTGTAAAGAATCCTTTCTAATTTGTATCAAAAACTTATACTCGTCTCCATAAACAATGTTAATAAACTCCTTTCTTTTCTTATCTCATGGATAAGTCTGTATGTAAAATTGGTATTATTTGTTCTTTAAATTTTGGAGGGAATTTCCTTGTGAAGCCATCTGATTCTGAAATTTCGTTGTGAGAGTGTTATTAATTCATGGAATTAATGGACTTGCATATGCATTGTGAAACGTTTATATTTTCTGTCTCCTCTTGTCTCTGTTTTCATTCAGTTGTGTTTTTCAATTAACTATGTTTATTTATGTAAACTATTTATTATTATTGGCTAATTCGTCCGACAATATTATTCTGGTAATATTTGTGGGTCTACAGTGATATTTCTGTTTACATTGCCAATTTTGAATACATTTTTATTTTTCTTCCCTTTTCGGCTATATTTGCAGGGTTTATCCAATTTTAAACATTTTATAAAAATAATTTTTATAGTTTTATAATT